TAATTTTAAAAGTCCTTTGAGCCAGGCAGTAGTAGCTCACGCCTTTAATCCCAGCACTCAGGAGCCAGAAGCGGGGGGATCCCTGAGTTCAAGGCCAGCCTGGTCTACAGAGTGAGTTCCAGGTCTGCCAAGGTTACTCAGAGAAACTTTGTCTAGAAAAAAAAATAAATCAATAGCCCTTTGAACTGTTTGTTATAGGAAGTAGCTCTATTGGCATAGTGCTTGTCTAGCATTCATGAAGGCCTGGGTTCTGTATTTGTCACCACAAATGCCAGATGTGATAGTACATACTCTAATCCCAGCACTTGAGAAGTGGAGGCAGGAGGATCAGGAGTTCAGGCTCATCCTCAGTTATATACTGAGTTTGAGGTCAGTCTGGGATACATTAGACCCTGCCTCAAGTTGACAGCAAAATCCCTTTAAACAATGTAACTTCAAAAGCCACTAGAATCATGAGACTTGGTCACATAAAATAGAAAGAAGGAAAGAAAGAAAGGAAGGAAGGAAGGAAGGAAGGAAGGAAAGAAGGAAGGAAGGAAGAAAGAAAAAAGGAAGGAAAGAAAGAAAATAAAGAAGGCAGGGAGGAAGGAAGGAAGGGAGGGAGGGAGGGAGGGAGGAAGACAGGCAGGCAGGCACTCACACTGGGTTCTCTTGAGAAGCCCACTCCTACATACCATCCTTTGCCAAAGCTTCCCTTTCTATTAACGCCCATGTGTAAACATCTTTTCCCGATAAACTCTGACTCTGTTTCATACTGACTTCTCCTGAGATTCTTTTCTGTTGCAATGGCAGGAATCCCAGCTTACCAAAGTTGCAATCTCAGAAAAGAACTCAGGCTGCAGCAGGAGGCAGAAAGGAGCTGAGTTCCAGCATCCTCTGTCACTAACAAGACCTGGGCACACATCTGAAGACATAGGGTTCTAGCTGCCATCCCAACTTCTGGTTCTGCAGGTCGAGTGTTAGGCCTGAGAATTCATGTTCCTAACAAGTTGATGCTGCTGTTGATGGCCTAGGTCTGTGTGTGTGTGTGTGTGTGTGTGTGTCTGTCTGTCTGTCTGTCTGTCTGTCTGTGTGTCAAGATTTCATGTAGTTCAGGCTGCCCTGGAACTCTATATGTAGCCAAGGATGACCTTGAACTCCTGATTCTCTTGCCTGACACTGAGACATACATATACATCATATACTACATATACACACAAATACAAACATACATACATATACATATGCACCCATATACATACACATACGCATATGCATACGCATGCGCATATATATATATATATATATATATATATATATATATATATATTTGTTTTTGTTTTTTGAGACTCACTCCATCTGACAATGGGCTAAACTTTTCTGCAAGTTTGAAATGTTTTATAATAAGATGATGAAAATTTATAGCAGAGATGCCAGGTAATCCCCAGGGTAGCAGGGCCCGAGGGGGGGGAGCTGAGGATAGGATGAGGCATTGCGTGGGAAAATGCTGAGGATAGCCACTTCTGACCTAGATATTTTTAGGCTGAGGCAGAGCTCATGGGAAAGTGCTTATGCCTACCTGTGCCTAAAGGCTTATATGTGGGAGGCCTGGGACCCTGGGGAGCAGTGACAGAGCCTGGCATGGGGCAGGTATGCTTATAATTCTAGGACAGACAGTTCTTTAAAAAAAAAACAACTAGCTATCAGTATTGTGTATGGGTGGGTGCAGGTGCCCACCTGCACGCATGTGTGGAGATCAGAGGACAACTTTGTTAAGTTGCTGCTCTCCTTTCCAAGTTCATGTGGGTCATGGGGATTGAACTCAGGTCGTCAGGATTTGTGGCAATCGCTTCTTATCTGCTGAGCCATCTAGTGCTCCCCCTTTAACTGTTTTTAACTTTTTATGTAGCATGCACAGGACTCTAGGTTCCCTGGTGGCATATGCCCGTAATCCCAGAACTTGGGAATCAGGAGCAGAAGCAGAAGGATCGAGAGTTCAAGGTTATCCTCAAATACTTAGTGAATCGGAGGCCACCCTGGGATCCATGAGACCCTGTTTCAAACACAGCGAACCTCATCTAAAGTGAGGGTTAATTACCATCCGCCTTCCAGGATTGGTGTGGAGCTGAATGAGTTAGCACCCACTGTGAGGGAGTACTAACTCATTGTGAATCCATATTGTGTTTATATCCCACCCAAATAAACGTATGCACCAATCTCAAGCTTCTGTGGGTTCTATCCACTCCCTCCCTGTAGGGCCTGGGGATTTCCTTGGCTGCTCTTTACTGTGATCTTTCCCCCTCAGTTTTCTTTCCCATGTGCGTGCACACAGTGGTTTCCTTCCTTATCATTTGCTCCATTATTCTGATTGAGACAGGATCTTGGTGTATAGGCCTGAATGCCCTGTGACTTGCTGTGTAGCCTGGGCTGGCCCCAAACTCCAAACAATCGTCCTGTCTCAGCTGTCCAAGTATTGAGATTACCATGTTCCATGACACATTTACTTATCTGGGCTATTTTTGTTTGGTTGGTTTGATTTTTTTTTTTTCAAGACAGGGTTTCTCTGTGTAGCCCTGGCTGTCCTAGAACTCACTCTGTAGACCAGGCTGGCCTGGAACTCATAGATCCACCTGCCTCTGCCTCCCAAGTGCTGGGATTAAAGTTGTACACCACTGTTCCCAGAGACTGAATCACCAACCAAAGACTGCGCACTGGCTGGACCTAGGTCCTCTGCATACGTGTAGCAGATGTGCAGCTTGGCCTTCATGAAGGTCCCCCAACAACCGGAGTGGGGGCTGTCCCTGAGCCTGTCACCTGCCTGCCTGTGGACCCAGCCCCTAAATGGACCACCTGGGCTGGCCTCAGTGGGAGAGGATGTGCCTAGTCCCCCAGCAGGGGGAGGGGGGACTTAGTGGGAGATGACACCTGGGGGTGGGAATTCCCTTCCAAAAGAGAAGGGGAAGGTGGATTGGGGGGAAGTCTTGTGTGAGGGGGTACTGGGAGGAGGGAGGCTGATATTGGGATATAAAGTGAATAAATAAATTGATTTAAAAATAACTGAAAAAAAAACTACCAAAAACAAACAAACAAACAAAAGCAAAAAACAGGTGTGCACCACCATACTCAGCTATTCAAGCCACTTTCTAACCTCCTGCTAGCCCACAGACCAGTGGTTCCAAACCTTAATGCTGCGGCCCTTTGATCCTTTAATACAGTTCCTCACGTTGTGGTGACCCACAAACCATAAAATTATTTTCATTGCTACTTCAAAATTGTAATTTTCTACTGTTATGAATTGTAATGTAAATATCCGATATTCAGGATATCTGACATGTGACCCCAGTCAAAGAGTCATTGACTCCCTCCCCTTAAAAGAGCTTTTGACCCACAGGTTGAGAACCACTGCCCTAGAGACAGCCTCTGGAACTTTAGCTTTGCTCGGTGTTGGGTTCTGAGGTCTAGTATATAGTGAGTATACAATAAATACATGGTAGTAGTGCTGGGACCTAGCCTTGGGGCCTCCTGCTATCTAACCTGCAAATCTGGTTGTGCAGGAACCTCTGGTAGTTGGGCCTCCAGTTGGGGGACCAGGTGTCCCTGAGCTGCAGCCCCATGGAATGTGAACAGAAGTCTCTCTGCACACAGACCTCAGGGCCCAGTTTGAGAGACCCTGAGGGACTACATGGTCTCTAGGATGCATGGCTGAACGTTCTGAAGTAGAAATACATTTCAGAACACACCGCTCAAGTGTGCAAGGGCATGGGTCAGTTGAGTGGAGGGCTGGCGTTCCAGGATGAGAGGTCCCCCTGGGAATGCAGGTGACCCCTAACACCGTTCCTATTTTATGGGGTAGATGGGCAGACTCTGGAGCCTGTGGCTTGCTGGGTAAGGACGGATACAAGAGACAAAGTGCAGACAAGAGGGGAGGGGCTCTTTGGGCATCTCCTACTTGACCAATTAACACATAGCTGGGCCTGGAATATAAAACGGACTGTACATGAGTGCAGAGGCAGAGAAAAGTGCCTGGAGATAGCCAATTAAGGAACAAAGGCCTCTTTTGCAAGGCCAGGCTAGGCACAGAGACAAACTCAGCGATTAATGTTGAGGGCTTTTAAATGGAGACTTGAGAGGGGTTACATTGGCTGGAAGGAGAGGGATCCTGTCTCTGAGAGGGGAGTGCCAGCCCCTCCAGGGTTGAGTCAGTCACTCCACCCTCAGGCTCACACCCTACTCCAGAGCTTCCTTCGGAGGGGTGAAATTGAGGCCCAAAAGACACCTGGAAACAGGAAGCCTGGCCTCTGTGTGGAGGACATCCTTGGAATCCCGAGGTTCATGCAGTGATGTGGGCAGGGGGACAAGGAAGAGGTTTCCCTGAGGTGTATTTACTTAATTTTTCCATCTTATTCTGTGGTGTGTGTGAGTGTGTGTCTGTCTTTGCATACGTGCCTGTGCCACATCAGGTCTGCAGAGGTCAGAAGACAAGTTGCAGGACTCAGTCCTCTTCTTCCAAAATAAGGCTTCTAGAGGTCAAACTCTACAGAAATCAGGTCCGGACCTCGCTGGACTCTGCAAGCCAGTTTTTTGTTTGTTTGTTTTGCTTGTTGATGTTGTTTGGGGGAGGGCAGGCTCTCACTGTGTAGCCCACGATCGTGAACTGGCATTACATGCGGCTGCTACCACCTTTAGCTCAGATAGGAGAGCCAGGTCATAACCCCACATCTTCCACCAGCCCGGGTAGGGCGTGCTGCGCAGCGATAAGGCAAAGGTGCAACCTGGCAACCTCCACCCACATTCCCCAGTTAGAATCTAAGCTCTCTGCAGAGGCCGCCACTCACGCCCTTATCGGCTCTCCATTGGTGCTAAGCGCCATCTCTCCAACCCCTTAAACTTCTGCGGACTAATCAGATTCCCGTGACTGACCCTCCTTAGCTGCCCCGCCCCTTTTAGGGCGCAGCCGAGGCGCGAGCGGATTGGCCTGCTCGGGAGGGAGGGGCAGACACGTAAGGGGCGCAGACCTCGTGTCCAACGCAGGCAAAACGGTGACCCAGCCCGGCGCCAGTGACAGTCCAGTGGGGAAAGTGCGCTGAAGGGCCCTAGTGGAGGGGCTGGCTGGACTCGAACCTGATACCGCCAGGTAAGTCCAACTGCCCGTCCTTACTGACGGGGGACAGGGGGGAGACGGAAGCGTTCCGGGCTGTCCGGCTGAGGCGGGGCTCCAGTTGGTCTCAGGATGAACCATCAGGGAGGCACTTCAAGCTTCTCCAGAGTTAAGTTTTGTATCAGCCCCGGGAGTGGGCGATTCCCATGCCCGTTTCTTCCAAGAAGAAAAGCATCCCAGAGAGGGAGTGAAACTCACTCAGGGTCACACAGCTTGGCAATCTGGGTTCCTGTAGTGGTGTGCAGTAACCACTTGCCCAATTAAGTAGCCTCCTCCTCAATCCGTCCACAGGAGGTCACTTACCTCAGCCTCAGACAGGTTTCCTTTACTGAGGGCTCCTTCCAGAACTCCCAGGATGCCCCTAAATCTCTCTCCAGACCAGACACCCCCCTTCACGTCTTACATGCCCGCCCCACCTCGACTCTTTCTCTCAGATTGGTCATTTTCTGCCCCACCTCTCACCCAGCTTCCACTTAGTCTTCAGATCACACCCAGCTGGCCCGAACTTTTTTCTTTCTTTCTTTTTTATTCTTTCATATATTACATCTCAACCAGTTTCCCCTACTTCCCTCCCAATCCCCGTCCCCGACTCCCATCCACTCTTTTCTTTTCCAGAAAGGTGCCCTCGGACACCAACCAAACAGCATATCAAATTGCTGTAAGATTATGCACCCCCCACCCCCTAGTATTAAGGCTGGACAAGACAACTCGGTATGAGGAAAGGGTCCCAAAAGCAGAAAAGAGTCAGAGACAGTACCCACTCCCACTGTTAGGAGTCCCACAAGAAGACCAAGCTACACAGCTGTAACATGCAGAGGGCCTAGGTCAGTCTCATGCAGGCTTCCTGGTTGCTGGTTCAACTCTGCAAACCCCTATGGACCTAGGTTAGTTGATTCTGTGGGTTGGCTTGTGACCCCTCTGGCTCCTCCAATCCTTCCTCCCCCTTTTCTGCAAGACTCCTCGAGTTCTGCCTCATGTTTTGGCTGTGGGTCTCTGCATCTGTTTGCATCTGTTGCTGGATAAAGTGTCTCTGATGACAACCCGGCCAAATACCAGTCTCTGAGTATCAGTAGCAGAATGTCATTAGGAATTATTTCATTGCCTTTTAAATTTTTTAAAAATATTTATTTATTGCCAGGAGTGTTTGGTTCTACCTTAGGTCTCTGAGCTATCCAGCCTCTGAGTTGTGGCTATCTATCCAGGGAGTGGGGTGGGCTCCCTTTGGTGGCTTGGGTCTCAAGCTGGGCCTGTCATTGGTTGGCCACTCCCACCATTTCTGGGCAACCTTTACCCCAGCACATCTTGTGGTCAGGACAGATTGTAGGTCAAAGGTTTTGTGGCTGGATTAGTATCCTGATCTGTTCACTGGAAGTCTTGCCTGAGTACAGGAGATGGCTGGTTCAGGCTCTGTATCCCCCTTGCTAGGGGTCTTAGCTAGGATCAACCTCCTAGATAGCTGGGACAGACTAGATTTTAGCTTGTTTCTGAGATGCACCCTGCCCCTGAATTCCAGTAGTCTCTCCCAATACTCTCTCCATCCTGCTTCCCCCACCTGATCCCTGTCCCTGTCTCCATCCACCCCCAGTCTCCCCTTGATAGCTAGTCTGTTGCGCCTTCCCTTGAGCCCTCCTTGTTACTTAGCTTCTCTGGGTCTGGGGATTGTAGCATCTTTGTCCTTTACTAATGTCCATGTACAAATGAGTACATATCATGTTTGTCTTTCTGGGTCTGGGTTACCTCACAGAGGGTGATTTTTTTCTATTTCCATCCATGTGTTCTAGATCCATCCATGACCAGGATGTGTCATCCCTTGGGTATATGCCCAGGAATGATATAGCTGGGTTCTGAGGTAGATTTACTCCCAATCTTCCAAGAAACCACCATATTGATTTCTAAAGTTGTACAAGTTTGCACTCCCACCAGCAACAGACGTGTGTTTTTCTTGCTGCACAGGCTTATCAACAACTGCTGTCTCTTGAGGTTTTGATTGTAGCTATTCTGAAGGTTGTGAATGTAATCTCTGGGTCGTTTTGATTTGTATTTTCCTGATGACTAAGGACATTGAACATTTCTTTAAGTGCTTCTCGGCCATTTGAGATTCCTCTGTTGAGAATTCTCTGTTTAAATCTGTACCCCACTTTTAATTGGGTTATTTTGTTTGTTGGTATCTAATTTATTGAGTTCTTTATATAGTTTGGATATTAGCCCTCTCTCAAATGTAGAGTTGGTGAAGATCTTTTCCCTATCTGCAGCTTGCTGATTTGTCGTGTTGACAGTGTCCTTTGCTTTACTGAAGCTTTTCATGAGGTCCCATTTATCCATTGTTGATCTTAGAGCCTGAGCCCTTGGTATTCTGTTCAGGAAGTTGTCTCCATTGCCAATGTAGTCTAGGATATTTCCCACTTTCTCTTCTATTAGATTTAGTGTGCCTGGTTTTATGTTAAGGACCTTGATCCACTAAGACTTGAGTTTTGTGCAGGGTGATAGATACGGATCTATTTGCATCCTTCAACATGGAGACATCCAGTTAGACCAGCACCATTTGTTGAAGATGCTTTCTTTTCCACTGTATGGTTTTGGCTTCTTTGTCAAAAAATCAAGTTTCCATAGGTGTATAGATTTAAATCTGGGCCTTCAATTCCATCCCATTGACGAAGTCGTCTGTTTTATGACAGTACTGAGCAGTTTTTATCACTATTCTGCAGTGCAGCTTGAGATCAGGATGATGATTCCACAGAAGTTCTTCCATTGTTCAGGAGTGTTTTGGCTATGCTGGTTTTTTTTTTTCCATATGAAATTGAGAATTGTTCTTTCAAGATCTGTAAAGAATTGTATTGGACTTTTGATGGGGATTGCATTGAATCTGTAGATTGCTTTTAGTAAGACGACCATTTTTCACTATGTTAATCCTACCAATTCATGAGGGTATGTGATCTTCTCATCTTCTGATACCTTCTTCAATTTCTTTCTTCAAAGATTTGAAGTTCTTATCCTATAGATCTTTCACTTGCTTGGTTAGAGCTATATCAAGATATTTTATATTATTTGTGACTATTGTCCTTGGATTTCTTTCTCAGTCCGTTTATCATTTGTATAAAGGAGGGCTACTGATTCTTTTTTTTTTTTTTTTTTTTTGAGTTAAGCTTGTATCCAGCCACTTTGCTGAAGGTAGGAGCTCCCTGATAGAGTTTTTGGGGTCACTTATATATACTAGCTATTGAGTAGATATGTGAAGAGTGGACAGCCTTGTCTTATTCCTGATTTTAGTGGAATAGCTTTGTGCTTTTCTCAACCTAATTTGATGTTGGCTATAGACTTGCTGTAAACTACCATTATTATGTTTAGATATGTGCCTTGTATTCCTAATCTCTCCAAGATTTTTATCATGAAGATGTACTGGATTTTGTCAAAAGCTTTCCCAGCATCTAAAGAGCTGATCATATGATATTTTTTCTTTTTTCTTTTTCTTTCTTTTTT